CACAGCATGTCTTTTATCCTGTCTTCCTTCTCTCACCCCAACCAGTCGCAGCAGATGGCCCCGCCCCTCCCTGAGCCTGGTTCTGTCTGAGGTTTCTTCCTGTTAAAAGGGAGTTTTTCCTTCCCACTGGTCATACCATTGTTGGGTTTTTCACTGTACCTATTATTGTAGGATCTACTGTACAATATAAAGCGCCTTGAGGTGACTGTTGTTGTGATTTGGCGCTATATAAATAAAATTGAATTGGAATTGAATTATATCATGAGCAGTAAGAGACACAGTAAAGGTAACAAAATTGTTTATGTTGTCCGTTTTTGAATTATCTTCAAGTTCCCTACAATAAATGTTATGTAGTAAAGAATACTAGGGATTCAAAACATTTTCTTCCATGATCCAAACTAATTTCCTGATGGAGAAATCATGTCATTTAGAACTGCTGTCAAGGGGAAAGGCAAAGTCCTTTAAAGTAAACAAGACAGTTGACTAGTTATTCATTTCAGTGAGCCACTGGCTCGATGTTTCGGTTAGACTTTTGAATCATTTTACCAACCAATTTGCCCCCATTCTAATCATGATGCCCTATTACACTACCTGGAATACTGTTGGCTGCAATAGACACACCCCACCGTTAAGCATATTTGGCCTAGAAAAGGCCAGGGTAGCTGCAGATACAACAAAGCAGGTTTGTTTAGACAGTCCCCCTCACCCAACCTGCTCGACTGTCACTCATAGATGCAAGGGTGACAGGAGTTTACTGGCAGCCATTTATAAATCCACTGCAATTTCAATAACGATTTGGGCTTTCAATTTTCAGTTGTGCCTACACCGTTTATCGCTTTTACATCTTTGACTTCCAGGTAAATCGCAATCAATCAATTTAAACACCTTAAATGAGGTCACACGGCAGAAAAAGGTCCAAAAAGACATTCTTTCACTGGTATGTAAAGTCTATACGTAGTTTCAGTGGCTGAGCAGAAACTGACTGGCAGCCTGTTTAATCAACATCTGTGAAACTGTGACAAGCTGAACAGCATTCAGGAAAACAGGTGACAAGTTTTCTCACGGCATCAGTACACTAAGTAAACAGTTACCTCAGACATAAACTTCCTTCCAACACTGCCTGGCACCGTCCCCACTCCCTGCCTCCTCCCTTCTCAAAGTGCAGCTTTACCTACTTTGCTCTGTCCGTTCAACTTAGATGCTGTTTATGCTCGGTTTAAGAATCTTACAAATTCCATCAGTGGATACAGGATTAAGAATTAAGGTTTTTTTCAAAGCTGTTCCTCTTAATTAGCTAAACAAACACAGCCTTCTTTTTCACCTGCTGTCTCGAGTGTTGCGGTATGTGCATGAGCTAATGCTAATTATTCCCTAACGAACAGAACAAATAGGACTTCTGGCGCAAGTGGGCAGTTTTCTGTGAGAGAACATTGTGTGCCTATACATAAAGTAACCACATAATCTCAACTACACTGGACACTCATTTATGCAATGCAAGTACCAGTAAACACTTTAAATTGGAAACGTTTTTCAGAATGGCCTCCATTAAGGACGAGTTTAAAAAAAAAAGCTAGATAAATGTGCTCGCATTTTATCGGAGCTGTGCGCGTGTGTGTTCTGAAGAAATCATAACTGTATCTAGTGCAATTTTCATCTCTCCGTTTCAGCCACAGATTCCATCAGTCAAGTTTTGACATGAGCAGTGTTTCAGATGAGGAATGCATTGGGGCCTGCACAAATACAAACGGGATGCACGCCATCAGGCCCACTATGCAGAGCTAATTAAAAGCAAGGGGATTTTTGCTTGAGTCACAGACTGACTGGGGTGGTGTACAAGTGGAGAGGAGGCATTCTTGATATCCTTTCCTTTAATTTGTCCGGGAATAATCTGTGACTGCCACTTACACTAAGGACCACAGAGGACAAATAATAGTCATTTTAAAAGGTCTGTTAGCGTCAGATTCAACAAAGGTATCATTAAATTATGCTGTTGTTTTGTGACAAGAACATGTAAAATGAAAATAAATGCCTTGGAGCGACCTGTTCAGCAGCACATCCCTAAGCGCTGAATACGTACGGCTACAAACAATGCATGTACAACTTGCACTGCTGTGAAACAACTAACAACCTGCAGAAAAAGTTCACTGTTGCAACTTCTGCAAACACGAGTTACTCCGCTATAACCGTCAGTCGAACTGAGCCAAGCTTGTGTTTACATTCCTAAATTGGATGTGATGCTATCAGGTGGATGAGGGGCTGATCCAAAGGAAGGAGATGTTTGAGATGTAAGCTACTACTATCTGACAAGCATGCATGCTTTCAAAGGATGCGGCAGTGCTCTGCTGAAGGACACCATTTCACTCGTATTTTACATATTGCAGGGCTTTCTGGTTGGGTGTAAAGCATAAACCAACAAATTCATATTTAAGTTGCTTTTTTCATTTACCCGTGTGAGTTTTCTCTTTTCTTGTTCAAGCTGCATTTAGTAGGCTACCCAAAGGAAATGCCTGAGTCAGACGTTCATCTATTCAAACACAGAGGAACAGGCGCTCCAGGGTAACAAGTCACTCAACCCTACTGACACCTCTAATCTGGGGAAAGTACCTGCATTTGTGCTTTCATTTGGTCTCATAGCATTTAACTTAAAATTAGCTGGATTAGAAATCTGCATAACAGAGATTCTCACATAATGGGACTTCTCTCATATTCAGGCTAAGCCTCATCTCAGACATCTTTCATTGCGAAAATCAGAAAGAGTTTATTGAACAGAAGAAAGTTGCATTTAAATGATAACAAGCACAAGGAAACGGCTCAGACCTACCACTGATGACTTTCAGCACATGTAGGATTTAAGCTCACTGCTTCCTCGCCAACTTTCTTCCCTGAGAGGAAAGAGAAAAAGACAGATAAACAGATAATGATCCTCTGCTGAAACATAAATCTGACACACACTCTGCAACCTGGACATTCTTGTTCTACGGGACGAAAGAACAGAGACTGGATTAGTACAATCAAGGGGTGTGTTGACTAAGAAAGCACAACAGGATACACATAAATCAAGAAGCATCAATGGGCACTGGATTAAAGCAATAAAACAGAAGTTACATCAAATGCAATCCAGGAAGACAGCTCAGTTTTTAATCCTTCATCACTTAGTGGAATGCGTTTCATTTTGGCCGCTCTATTAATATCTAAAAGAATGTTAAACATGATGCTTTGCTACTTATGCTTTGAAACAGGTGCCTTAGCAGGAAGCACCTGGCTGGCTCTGATTAGAGGTACAATGATGAGAAAGGATTACAGAGAAACAGGTCAATCCAGTATGAAAACAAAAACAAACAAACAAAAACAAAACAGCCTCTGTTTGGAAAAATAAAACCCACTGTGGTCAAATGTAAACGATTAAGAATAAAGCAAATTAGGTCAAAGAACAAAGTGTTTGTTATCATTAAGTTAATATGAAAGTATCCTCTTTTTTGAGCGTATTACCTATGTACACAGGACAAAGATGGCAACATAAAAGGACAATTTTCTGAACTTCAGACACAAGTATTGTAAAGGCTCCTAGGGTCACCTAATCTTTTTAACACTTAAAGTAGCTCATAGGAGACATTTTGTTGTTGTTTTTGTTGTTGTTAATTTATAGATAAAAATACATAAATGTCAGTTTTCATCTGAAACAGTCCAATCGTCAGTTGAAAAACTGTCTTTGTTTCATTTAAGTGTACAGTACCATCAGCTCCACTGAGCCTACACTCACCTGCCACCTCATGGATTACACCTTGCTAGTATTGCTGCTTTGTGGCACAGATTCAACAAGATGCTAGAAACATTCCTCACATTTTAGTCCACACAGCACAATCATACAGTGACACAGCACTATCATACAGTGACACAGCACTATCATACAGTGACACAGCACTATCATACAGTGACACAGCACAATCATACAGTGACACAGCACTATCATACACGAGTGAATCTGCTGTTCCAGGAAATCCCAAAGCCACTCTAATGGACTGAGCTCTGGTTACAGTGGAGGGTATTTTGAAGTCAGTGAACTCTGCCACGTTAGAGAAACCACTAACATCACTGAGATGACACGTTATCCTGCTGAAAGCAGCCATCAGAAGATGCACTTTGGTCATGACGGGATGGACACGGCCAACAACAATACTCAGATAGGTTGTGGCATCACACCACCGCCAACTGCCTGAACCTTTGATACAAGGAAGGATGGATCCAAGATTTTAATGTTGCTGACACCAAATTCTGACACAGCCAATCATTTTGTCAATCTTCTACTGTGTAGTTCTGGTGAGGCTCTGTGAACTGTAGCCTGACCATTCTCTGTTTTCAGCCCTAAAGATGGCTGTGTGGAACAATCCCAGTAGATCAGCAGTTTCTGAAATACTCCGACCAGCCTGACAACAACGACTACACCACATTCAAAATCACCTTCAGTACTAATTCTGATGCTGAGTTTAAACTTCAGCAGATTGTCTTGATCATGTCTACATTACTAAATGCACTAAGTTACTGATTGCCTGATTAGATATCCATGTTAATGGGCATCTGTACAGATGTACCTAAAAGCAGCCATTGAGTTTATTAGAATTAGAACCTAGACTTGTTGTAATTAAATAGATGAGGTACTAGACACCAATGTTTGGGGGTTTACCTTGAATAGAAATTAGAGTAAATGACTAGAATATAACACTATACAAGGATCTTTGCACTGGTCATGGCAGAAGTTGTGACTCAGTGCTGTTTAAAGAACTGAATTTTTCTAGAAGTGTTGTGTAATTAACTTAAGCAATATGCTATTATACTGAAGATACATGAACGTGTTGCATCCAAGCTAGTATGACAGATAAATACCAATCCAGGGCTATGTTTGGTCCAAGCTTGCCAAGCACTCCTGCCAATTCCCTGAAATTGCTTAAAACCACATTTGGATTTGGGTATTCCAGATGAGACACTGACTTTTGGGGGTTGGCCAGTGTAACAGTCGGATTTATTATAAGATAACATCTCATATCCAGCGTAGAATGCTAGTCAAACGAGGCATGAAACAAGTTTTAGTAAATTACCAGTCTCTGCGTAGGTCTTCTTCTCCTCCAGAGTCAAGCTGATGTCATGGACGTCACAGTAAGCTCGGGTTAGCCGCCAAAGAAATGTCGAGTTTTCTCCAAACTAGAGAAGTACATGAAAGTACACAACTCCATCACACTGTTTTGTATTTATTATGGAGACAAACACGAATTAATGAAATGTATACACACCTCTTCTCTTTGTTCCAAAAGGATATTAAGACTTTCCCGTTTGTCAGACTCACAGCCCTGATGCAAACGGTCAATCTGCTCAATGAGGAGAGACAACTTGTCCACAGGATGCTCTTGATCCCTCTCTTCTGCATCACTTAGCTCATCCTCCTCTGAGTCTGTCAGCGCAGTCATGTACCTGTAAGTACAAACAAATGGCAAAAGAATGAGGTGCAGCTTCATTTTGCTGTCAGCATGTGCAATTAAACGTTACTGATGTGGATTAGAAAGCTGTGCTGAACACGTACATGCGGACCACACCGTCTCCATCCTGCTATCAGCAAAGTGCATACGCTGACCTCAAGAAGAATTAATAAACCGCCCTAAATGTGAGGTGAACTCACCCCAGCTGTGGGGCTTTTCAGATCAATCAAAATCCTGTCATCATGAGAATTTTTACAAGCCACTCTGTGCCAGATGCTGATTATAAAGAAGCCCTATTCACTGCCTGTTTATGCACAAAAAAAAAAAAAGGCACCAGGTTTGTTTATATAAGTTGGTCTGTTAATTGTTTAAAAATGCTAGCTCTTAAGGAATTCCTAAAGTCTAACTTTAGTTACCTGAAGGCTTTTTCACAAACACAAGGAGACTTGTTTAGCACTGTGAGGCACGCAATGCCTGTGTTAGAAGTTTTATGGTGCCCTTTCAATGACTGCACACACACACTGACTCCCTAAGCTAACACTTAAGTAGCAATGGCAGAGAAAAAAAATACCCATATTAAAAAGGCAGGTGAAAATGAAAGACAGACAAAGGTAAAAAATATGAAAGGCTTCTATTAAGTGTTGGCAGTGGCTGCATGTGCGTCATTGGTGGTTAAGAGAATGTTTTGGGCTGTGAGCCATGGTTCTGAAGGGATGTGTCGGAGCGGGCCTCAGACATAAACCCCGTGGACCCAACAGGTGCCTTGTGCCGCAGGGCTGCTTGCCAGCTCCACCCCATAACACATACACACACACCACACACACACACACCACACACCACACACACAGCCCTGAGTGCAGTGATTACAGGAGTAATATGAGGGCATTTGAACTGCAGAGATTTTCCTTAGCCAAGAAAGCAACTGTTGACGATAAAGTGCCACTACAGTAAAAGTCAAGTGCACAAATCGACTTATACACTGAAATTATGGGAGTTTTTCCCACTTTTCGATCTACTTTACTTCAATGGAAATGCTTTTTAACCCCTATTGTCAATATTTTTATACAAACAGTTAAGTGCATGATAGTATACACTGTAGGAAAGGTGACCAGCTACCGAGAAATATTACATGACGTGGAGGGGTTTATGTGTCCCAGAGATCCCAGAGGCTATGTTGTCGGGGGGCTTTCTCCCCGTGGTAGGCTCTCCCATGGCAAATTGCTCCTGGGTGAGGGACCAGACAAAGAGTGATTCAAAAACCCCAATGAGTGAAAGATCTAGAGAATATCTCACCCTGCCCGGGATAGGTTTTACTGGGGCCCTGCCCTCGAGACAGCTGGGGTAGGTGCCCAAGGGCGAGTGCCTGGGGATGGGCCTTAGTCTAAGACACACCAGGCAGGCACATCCCAAATGAGGGACATGGGCCCACCCTGCAGTAGGCCCGCCACCCGCAACAACTATACAGCAGTATTTATACAGGGACACTAAATGTTGATATTTTATTAAATACATTTAAATAAGAGTCATTCAGTCAAATAGTCACAGCCTGACTTGAACTGACTGAAATAAATCTCAGAGAGATTGTTGAAGGTTTACAAATAATTGCTGTATAATTTATAAATGCAGACAGATTGCCAACATGTTGTCAGTCTAAATGAACACAACCTGAAGGGCGTCAACTCAGCTGGCTGCCTGCTGGATGCATCTGGTTATAGTCCTATAAAAGAGGAAGGTTCCTTAGCACAAAATTAATACCTGAATGTGAATTTCTGTTAAATGTGAATTGCTCTCTATTTAGTTTATTGCTAACGGTGCTGATATTTATTCCTGAGAAAAAAAGCATGTCTTATTTTTTGAAATAAGACATGATATTGAAATAAACTGACTGATTGTTTTTAGAACGGAGCATATTTTTCCCCATTTAGTGAATCTGGCTTTTCATGTGTTGCACATAACAAATATCCAAATATCTAAATAAATACATAATAATAAAAAATAAAATCAGATATATGTATTACAACTTGGGTCATTAGAAACATTAGTTAGCACAGTTTAAAACAAGGTTGAAAAAGTGTTTTCAGCAAGGGTAAATCTTATTGCTCAAAGTCAAAATTTTTAACTACAGGATTGATTTTTATTTTTTTAGCATTAGTCAGGAGTTTAAATAACTGATTCATTGGCTTGTCACATTCAGCAGCTTAGCAGGAAACAGAGAATGTCTGTAACTGCAAAAGAAACCAGACTTTGCCTCATATATATTTTAATCTCCGTTTGTTTTTATACCATCATTTTGAGATAGTCTGCCAAAGCCTTGCTACAATCTCCTTCTACACACTAACCCCAAAGTAAACCCTAATACCTGCAGGCGAAGCTCAAATCATTTATTGGCCAATACATTTCAGATTAAAAGAATTTGAATGTGGGTGCTTTTGTGTTCTTACTTTTTTTTGATCTAGCTGCAACACAGCATGCTGGACTAACTTTCACCAAAAAAAAAAAGCCTTGCATTTATCTTTAGCCTCACTGCACTAGTCATTCATTCTCTCATTCATTCATCCTTTTGTCTTTTTAATTCATTCAACAGCCCTTTTTCCCTCCCTCACTCCCTCTCGGGTGGAGAAACAGGCAGTGGCGTACTGAGTGATCAACGCATTCCTGTCACGCCATTCCACGGCTCATGAATCACTTGAGTTGAAAGAAAAAGAAGCTAAGGATCTATTTGTATTACTGTGTGTTTATGTAATGTACATATGTTTGTACAGGAACCATTATTATGTTGGCGGTGTTAATAGCAGCGCACAGCTCTGAAAGAACTATTTCAACATCGGCCACGCACATAATATACAGAAAACCTCCTGTTACTTGCATGCAAATTAAGTTTGGGTTAGGGTGTGTGGAAAGGACCTCACAAACAAAGACAATAGTATTACAAGAGAGAGAGAGAGAAAGGGAGAGAGACCTTCTGTGACTATAATCATGGTGCAGATTAGTGAAAAAGAATGGCTGACTTCAACCATAATCTTTGACGCCTCAGGATGACCCTGAAAATTGACCACTTGGTCAAAGCATTTAACAGATAATTAACAGATAATGTAGCAAACATGGATAATTATGTATTAGATTTTGCACAGCATCACACAGAATGATAAATGGTAAATGCACTGGTTCTTCTAAAGTGCTTTTCTAATCCACCTGAGCACCCATTCACAACCATTCATACATGCATTTTTTTCTATGCTTGAGTCCTTTCTAATTAAAATTCACACACATTCATACTCTGACGGATACATCCAAAACTAACTTGGGGTAAGTATCTTGGATATTTAGCATGCAGACTGGAGCAGCCAGGGATCAAACCACCGACGTTCTAAGTAGTAGATGCTCTACATCTGAGCTACAGCCACCCCCATATAGCGTGACAATGAGAAAAGTGAATCATGTCTTCACTTTATGATTACATCATTCAGCTCTGATCAAGAGTCCAGCCCAAGTCCAAGTGAAGTGTTACAAAGAGGAATTTATAACAAAGAGCTTTACAAGCTTAAATTCATGGAGATTACTGTTATATGGAAACACCTAAAGAAAATAATAACAATATACAGGGAAAAAGCAAGTGCTGCATGGCTCTAGAGCAGGGGTGTCAAACTCAAATACACAGTGGGC